GTGATGCAGTTTTAACTTTCTCTTCTCTGGTTCTCCTTAGGGCGAACTGCTCCGAATACTTTCCAATCTTTGTGTCTGTCCTATGGGTGGCTGGAATCTTCTTCCAACAAGGTAAAATAATTAAAAATCCCACCAAAATCGAGACACTGGATTGGCTTTATAACATTGGTGCACTTACATCAAACTGTTGCTAGCTAATTGCTGGAAGCAAGCAGCCTCCTGGCGCTCAAGGATGAGCTGTTTCAACGTGGGGAAAGGGGCGAAATAGGCCAGACTTACATGAACCTCAGTTGGTTTGGGCAGCTACATTTTAATACTGAAAAGCTGACATGCCAACCTGTTGATAATATATGGCGGTATTTGTGCCTTTCCCAAGGGAGACATTTACATAATTGCATTGTCCTATGGCTAGTTAGTGCTTCTAGCCTTTAGAGATGAACTAGTCCAGTCTTCCTCCTACTCCTCAACCTGCTAACTTTGCTTAGATTTGGCCCTGACGTGCAGTAGTTCCTAAATGTCTCAAGCACTATGCTACTATTCATTTATTTCTCCTAAAGAGGGAGGGGTGTGGAAATATGGCTTGTAGCTTGGGGAAAAAGCCATGATTACCCCTCCCTGCAGGGGTGGCAGACGCTTCCTTGGCCCCACCCCTCCAAGCCCCAGGCCCTGAGCCACCCCTTCCCCTGCGGCCCTGCTCCCACACCACCTCTGCCCCCTTTCACTTGTCCTTATGGCCAGTAAATAGGGGGAGGGCAATGGGCCCCTGCCTCCCAGGCAGCACTGGATGCAGTGGTCAGGTGTGTCACTGTCAATTTGTAATTTTGATTTTGCTGAATTGTTCTCTTCCAATTACTTGTCGGACGTTGTATCCCTGCCTTCAGCCTCTGGCAGTGAAACATTTGGGGCACTGCCCCATGGTAACAATTTTGGTTCTTGGCTTCACATCTAGGTGTGGCTGCAGTCTGTGGGCTACTCTACTTGTACGCTCGGTACCAGTACTTCCAGGGATATACGCTGTCTGCTCATGGAAGGTGAGTAAGTAGCCAGGCCTGAAATCGTGTGGGTGAAAGTGCCCAACAAGTAGCCTGTCTTATACACATTAAAATCAGTGGGAGTCAGGTGCCAAAATACCTGTGAGGAGGATCTGGGCTTGTATCCTTACCCGCTTTGCTGTTAGAAACCCACTGCTGCTATTAATTTCTCCCTGCCGCCCATGGCAACAGCACCATGAATGGAGATATATCCTATCTCCTAGAACTGGAAGGGACCTTGAAAGGTCATTGAGTCCAGCCCCCTGCCTTCACTAGCAGGACCAAGTACTGATTTTGCCCCAGATCCCTAAGTGGCCCCCTTAAGGATTGAACTCTCAACCCTGGGTTTAGCAGGCCAATGCTCAAACCACTGAGCTATCCCTCCCCCCAGTGTGTTACCAATTCATCACATGGCTCTAAACCAAAGTGCAGGAGTCTTCTGCACTGGAGTGTAACAATGGGCAGTGCAGTTCCTCTAAATGAAGCGTACATCTTTCCTCAGGAATGCTCGCAGTCCATAAAACTCCATCTGCACTAGAGGCTGACTCCATGGTGCTTAACAATAACTGTAGCCAGCTGGCTTTATTGCTTTAAACATGCTGCTGCTGAAGGTTACTAGTTTGAGAAGAAGGTTAACACAAAGTAATGGGATTCTGTACTGGCTGAAGGTATTGAAGCATGCTAAAGACAACACAAAAGTTTCCTGTTAAATAATTGCCTGGCCCAGCTTCTCAATGGCTTACTGAGGTGGTGTCCCCCACCTTGTCAAGCTGGCTGTTCTGGCATGCGGCAGCTTCAGTGTCACAACCACATATGCAAAAGTGGTGGTCTTACTATTTGTCAGGGGCGAAGACGCCGTGCTCGGCTGCACAGAACTGAAAATAAATACAGTAGCTTCAAAAAAAACCTGGATTTTTGAGGGCAGAAGGTGGCTGTTTGCAAAGTCTGTTATAGACTCTGCTTGTTTTATATATATACAAAAAATCATTCCTGTCAGCGGAGGTCATTGTTCTCTTTTAGTTAATGTGTTAACGCTGCAGTAGCAATAGCCCAGGGTTGACTAGCCACAAGTTAACTTTGTTTTCTCCTCACACAGATTGGGGCCCATGTACTTCAGTGCCAAAGTTCTGTGGATTTTGATTGGTTTGTCCGTGGCTGGGCTTTTGGTTCACTTCCTGTCTCTGAATTCTTTTGTGGGGAGAATGGAAATTCCAAGCAAACTGCAACTGCTCTTCCGGTGGTAAACAGCCCCTGTGATGGCTGAGTTGTGAGTTTAGCTCCGCATCTCCTACAACTCGTCCAGGCTGATAAGAATTTAACCTTCACTTTCTCCACACGAAAGCAGTTCAAAATAGAGCTAAAAAGCACAAGCTTGCTGTGGTTTGAAGAGATCTAAAATACTCCCAAACTTATGGTCAGCCACTTGTCCCCTGCATCAATTCTCTTCCTTTAATGATGGGGAAGAGGGAGAAAGTGGTTCTCTCCCTCTCCCCACCCCAAGTTATACACAGCAAGTTCCACGTATCAGGAAACAGTTTTAATCGCAAGTGGAGAATAGAGCAACGCTACATTGATTTCCCTCATTCGGCTTTTAAAATGCCTTCTCTTCCCCCACTAAAAGTTGTGCATGTGTATGTAGAAAAGCACAGGCTTGCTAGAGAAGCTAAAGACAGATATTATTAGCACATGCTTTTCTTCCTTCCCATCCCATCCACTCAGCTGAAACTAAGGATTTTGCCACTAGAATCAGCTTCTGTAGGATGTTGCTTAAGCTAATAAAAAGAGTATGTTGTAATTCTCAACTGTTTCTTCTACGCAGCAAGTACTACGCAGTACTTCAAATAGAGTATTAGTAAACATCGTGGGAGGCAAGGTCTAGACCACCTGTTTCCAGGACATTTGTTCATATAATACTTTAAACGCTTTTAGGCCCATGTTTTCTAATGGCTTGTGGCATTGGGCACCTAAGATGAGATTGCTAGGAGCACCCTGAACTTCAACAAAGCAGAGCCTAGCAATCAAATTGGGCACTCAAAGCACACCAATAACTGAAAAAGATGAGTTAATTTCCATGGCCAAACCAAGAGCTGTCACAGTCTTTAGCCTAGAGCAGTGGTCTCCAGCGTTTTTACGCACAAGATCACTTTTTGAATTTAAGGGCAATCCAGGATCTACCCCGCTCCTTCCCCAAAGCCCTGCCCCGCTCCCTCCATCCCCTCGGTCGCCCCCCACCCTCACTCACCTTCTCTGGGCTGGGGCTGAGGGGTTCGCAGTGTGGGAGGGGGCTCTGGGCTGAGCCTGCGGCAGGGGGGCTTGGGATGCAGGAGCGGGTGAGGGGTGCAAGCTCTGGGAGGGGGTTTGGGTGTAGGAAGGGGCTCTGGGCTGGGGCATGTTGGGGTGCAGGGAGGTATGGGCTCTGGGAGGGAGTTTGGGTGCAGGAGGGGGTATGAGGTGCTGACTCTGGGAGGGGGCTCAGGGCTGGGGGTGCAGGAGGGGGTATTGGGGGCTGGCTCTGGGAGGCTGCAGGTTGGGTGGGGAAGAGAAATGCTGGTCAAGCATAGCTGGGCCTGCTGTACTCATACTACACCTGGTCTTAATGCTGCAGAGCCATTCAGAACCTGCCCATTGAAGGGGACGGCACTTACCTTGCGCAGCCGTCACCCCACGCCGCTCCTGGAAGGGACCAACATGGTTCCACGGGCTACACCTCTCTGCAGGCACCCTGCACAGTTCCCTGTTCCCAGCCAATGGGAGCTGTGGGAGCAGTGCTTGCAGGCAGGAGCAGTGCGCGGAGGCCCCTGCTCCCCAGGGCCGGTGCTACCATTTAGGCAAACTAGGCGGTTGCCTAGGGCGCCAAGATTTGGGGGTGCCAAAAAGCAGTGCCCCCATTTTTTTTTTTTTTTTTTTTTTTTT